TTTGAACTTCTTTGTATTTTTAATTTGACTTTCTTTGGTTTTGTAATAAACATGTTGATGGTTTAAGAGCAGTTTTGAAAACCGTTTTTTCTTCACACAAAAAACATGAATCGTATTTTCGATCACATTTCTAAACCATTTATCGCAATGAGGCATATAATATGGCGTTGGAAAGCTACAGCAAAACCGCTCCTTCCACATGTTGAAAGTTTTCTCTAATTCCCTATGGTTAAAAAGTAATTTGAAAAAACGTAAAATTTCGTAAACCGAACAGCTGAGTTCATACTTTCGATGTCATTTCTAAATGGCTAATCCAATTGAGGCATATGATATGGCGTTGGAAAGCTTATGAAAATGCGCTACTTTTTCATCTTGAAAGTTTTTTTTCTAATTTTGAATGGTTTAAGAGTAATTTAGAAAATGGTCCAAGTCCTACCGAGTTCGTATTTTTGAGCTAATTTTTTAACTGTGCGTCCGAATGCAGCAAATGATATGGCATTGGAAAGCTTGAACAAATTCAAAACTTTTCGGTATGTATTATTTCTCCCAATTTTTGACGGTTTTAAGTCAGTTTGGAAAATGGCAAAAAACGTATTTTCGCCGTAGTTTCTACAAACTTTAAGGGAAAGGCGCAAATAATATCCCTTGAAAAGCTACAAAAAATGCGAAACTTTTTCATGTTGATGGTTTTCTCTAATTCCTAGCCGTTTTGATGTAATAGCGAAAATGGGGAGATCATTCGTTCTGCCTTTATCACGAAACAGATTCTTCGAAAATGCACCGCGTGAAGAACCTGAACTTCTCGGCATGTCTACCTGAACTTCACTCTGTTTTCGATGTGCCTTTTTTGCTCGCAGATCTCCATCCACTACTCGTAGCTCTCCATCAACTCCTCGGAATTCAACGAGTGATATACCGATGGAAAGCTGCTGTAAACACGTAACTTTCCCGTGTTGATCATTTTTTCATACTCGCGGCGCTTTTAAAAGTTTTTCATCCGAAATTCATTCAGCGTAGTAGTTGAACTTCCTGCTTTTTTCACATTGAACTTCTGTGACGTATTTTTGTTTCTAATTTTCTTATCCATTCATGAGTATTATACAAATGATAATCCTTTTGTACAAACCTCTCTCACAATAATTTTTTTAACTTTTTCCGACCGAGGACTTGAACTTATAACAAAAAAAAATTTGGACCTTGCTTTTTAATTTACTTTTCTCATATTAAACACACACCATGTAGTACATGAACTTTTTCCATTTCTATAATTTGAATTTTTGTTTTTCTTTTTGAAACCAAACTTCTCCCAAATAATAACTGAACTTCTTTGTGGATTGAGAGAATTCTTTTAAAACGCAAAAAACAATTTATTTTTTGTGTTTTCGAACATCAAAATACAAGGTGAACCTCTCTCGCAATAATTTTTGAACTTCTTCGGACAGAGGACTTGAACTTCTTTCAACAAACCTTTTAAGATTTTATTTTTTATACTTTTATACTCACCTGAAATGCATTCCCTGTAGTACATGAACTTCTCGTTGTTTTCACTATGAACTTCTATCACATTTTTGTGTATATGTCGAATTAAACGCAATTGAAGGTGGGATGCTTTTTTGCCATTTTAAAACATGTTATTGGAGGTCGGACATCCCGCAATATAAATTCTGAACCATGCACGGAGGTGCACGTGAACTTCTTGCAAGAAATCTGAGTTTTTATATACTTCGAACTTCTCTGTTATTTTAATTTCAACTTCTTTAGTATTATCCTTATAAAAGTAATATTTTAAAATAAGAATCAAATGTTTTTTTAAATTGAACTTCATACTTTTATTTTCCCTAGAAACGGAAAGAATTTGAGTTTTCTGTATATATCAAACTACCCATTTATTTTAATTTGAACTTCTTCATTTTATTCTTTCATAGCAAGGAAAATTTGTGTTTCTTTATAAATATCGATCTTCTTTATTTTTCTAATTTGGACTTTTTGTTTATTTCTTTTCGTAACAGAAAAACCCTTTTTTGTAACAAACTTTAAACCAATTTGTCTCTTAAATTGAACTTCTACGTTTTTGTAGAAACGAAGAAAAATTATTTTTTATAAACTTTTTTTGAATGGTTCTGTTTTTTTAATTTGACCTTCTTGTGGTTATTTTAAAACATGAAAGATATGTTTTTTTGTTACAAATATTGAACGACTTTATTATTTTACTTTCAATTTTTGGTGATCTTTTTTCTATAACAGGAAAATCCATGATAATTTTCCTTTTGTACATGCATAACAATTTCCTCAAACTCTACATTTTATTAAATTTGAACTCCGAGAGTTAACATTTCTAAAATCTGAACTTGGCATGTAGCCATAGCAGAAGTATTTCCTGATCATCTGCACTAGCACCAGCATCTGCGCATCTCTAAAGTCATAGTAGAACATCTCTGAAGTCTAAACCGAAGATTTTGGAACTGTTCATCATCTAGTGCGAATATCAACATGCTACGTTTTATTCGGGAGCAAAAGTGAGAGAAACAAAGGAAAAACGATTCAGACCAGGCACACGGCACCTGAAATTTTCAGAACATATACTGAAGAATAGTTCTTTGACAGAATGACAATTGTAACAAACACTTATTCTGCAATATAGCAAGTACCAAAATATACAACTACGGCTCTTCGCACAGACTTACATCTATCACATCATCTTTTGTGTTCTTGTCATGAATACCTATTTGTTGACATTTTTCACGGAACCTAAGATAGCAACTGACAAAGTAAAGAAGAAACTAAACCAAAAACAATTTGAACCGTCCAAAAAAAGGAAGCCTGGACTTCGTTGGGGCATGGTGGAAGTGGGGATCTGGGCGGTTGCGGTGGTGAGCGTCCTGGTAATTTCAAAAAAGAAAAAAAATCTCTACAACTACCTCATCGGTGCAAGAAACATGTAAATTTTGTTCCAACTCCCTCTGGCATTTGCACAAACACCTAGTGGGCAGCAAAGAACCACTTCATAGATGCTATTTGAAGAACACAACAAAGAGTGAGAGTGGAAACGGATCACAGAGCTCAGGTGGAGCAGGGCAGGGAGATGGCACCCATTCAAGATGCAGGGTCTGGTCGGGTGCAAACAGTTGAACGAGGACGGCGACCGGAGAAGCACGAACGGGGATACACACATGGTTTGAACTTCTGCCGAGCATGGACGGGGGCAACAGGAGCCAGGTCGCGCTCGGCTTGGTTGCCGGGGGTGGATTCGCGTCGTGGCAGGGTGAGGTACATGGTGCTGCGGTGTTGGAGCCCCACCGGGATGAGGCTGACGGTGGCGGAGCCCCACCGGGAAGAGGCAAAAGGCGGGAGGAGGCGGGGGCAGCAAGGAGGAGGTGGAAGGCGGGAGCCCCGCCATAGGTTGCTGGCATGCTGGGATGCACGGACTTGGCGGCGACGCGAGGTGGGGCTCCGGCCGCAGGTGGAGGACAGCGCGATGTGGCTGCCGTCGTCGTGTACTTGGGGGTTCCTGGGCTAGCGGCAACACGCAGGGTTCTAGCGCGGCCGCGGCGCGCGGGGATGCCGGGTCTTGGCGGCACGCGGGTGAGGGGATCCGGCTGCATGGGGTTCTGGCGGGGCAAGAGGAGCGTCAGGCCGGGGGGAGGGGGTGAAGCGCCGGAGCCACGTTGCTGGCGGTGGGAGGTGGTCGGCAGGATCGGGCAGAGGTGGGGGATCACGGGAAGGTCAAGG